GCGCAGCGGCCCGGCGGGAGGCAGGCGGTCGCCGGTGGTGGGCTTGCGCGCTCGGTGCGAAGGGCGGCGCCGCAGCTCGGATGTGAGCTCGTGCTTGAGGAAGCGGAAGACCTCCTTGGCGGGGCCGCGGCGCTCGGGCTCGAGCGCCAGGAGCCGCTGGAACATGCGCAGCGCGGGCTCGGTGAAGCGGCGCCACTGCGATGGCAGCCCGGGCAGGCGGCCCCGCTGCCAGCGCACGAACTCCTCGAAGAAGGCGTCCGCGCCCGACGCCGCCTCCCACGGGAAGTTGCCCGTGAGCACGCAGAAGATGAGCACGCCGAAGGCCCACACATCCACGCCCGTGTCCACGGCGAAGCCGTCGGCGCGGCCCGCCTGGCACACCTCGGGCGCCGTGTAGGGGATGGTGCCGCTCACGCGCTTCACGCGGCAGCCCACGCGGCGCGTCATGCCGAAGTCGGCCAGCTTCACGCGGCGGCACTCGCGGTCGAAAAGCAGCACGTTCTCGGGCTTGATGTCGCGGTGCACCAGCTGCCGCCCGTGCATGAAGTCCAGCGCCAGGCCCAGCTGCTGCACGCAGCGCTTCACCGTGTCCTCGGGGAGCCCAACCTGCGGGCGGGCGGAGGGGCGGGCGGAGGGCGGCTTAGGGGGCCCTGCAGCCATCGCGCCCACCGAACCTCCCCGCCTTCCCTGTACGGCCTGACTCCAGTTTACCAGCTACTCCCCGTTTGCTCTAAACCTTCCAGGGGCCATTCCACCCTCCGCGGGGTCCCACCTTCACCTGGGTCTTGGCTCTCTGCTGCTCAACGCCAGCATCTGGGTTCAGGCTGCCCCCACCGTCACCCCACCTGGGGGGGGTGTCCTGGCAGTTTTCTGTTTTCCTCCACCCCACCCACATGTTCCTTTCTCCTAGTAACGCCAGGCACTGTGCTAAACAGTCCCTCCTGCATGGCCTCATCAAAGCCTCGCAGTTAGGACCCCAGGGGGCCCTTCCTATTCTGTAAAGGGCAGGGCACATGCAAAGCTAGCGCTGGCTAACTGCAAAGCTAGGGTAATCTGAATGTTCCCAATGTCTCACCACTCTAGACCACCTCCTCTATGGGGCCCTTAGGGGCCTGCTCCCGGGGTGGGGGTGGGGGACACCAAATTCCTCTGTTACCCCTTATTCAGTTCCTAGGAGGCTTGGCCGTTAATCACCCCATGTACTGGGGTTGGTCTTATCTGTCATTGTCTGGGTTACTCGGTTGGGTCTGTTTCCCCCAGTAGAAAGAGGGCCCACCTTTATCTTGTTCACTGGATCTAGTGTCCTCTGTCTCCAATAGGGACCTTTGTGGTTCATGAGTAGCCTGACTACTCCCTCACACTGGGGGTCTCCCTCCCAGAGCCCCTGGAGTACCTGAGGAGGGATGATGTCAAACAGGTCCCCAGCGGGTGCGTACTCCTGGGCGAACACGTAGCAGTCCTCGGTCTCAAAGACCACATCGAAGACCTTGATGATGAAGGGGCTGGAAGACAGGCTGTTGGTGATGCTCACCTCCCGCAGGAAGTTCTTCAGCTTGGTTTTGCTCTTGTTCACGAACTTGAGGGCCATCTTCATGCCTGGTGATGACAGCAGTAATGGTGAGGAGCTCCTGCCCTGACCCCTGCACCTGAACTGTCCCCCAGCCTGTCCCCACCACAAAACCAAACAAGGATCCCAATGGGCAAGACTGTCCTCATCCTACAGAGAGAGAAACAGAACATAAAGAGGAAGAGAATGGCCCCAGGTCACTGAGGAGAGTTGGGGACCATCCTGGGTGAAGTCCATACACCCAGCTGGCAGCTCTGTGTGGAGCAGAGTGGTGGGGAGGGCCTGATGCGGCCTCTTACTAACTTCTGTTCTCCTGACCTGTGCTTGTTGATCCTGTCTGTGTCCTCCAGCCAGAATCTAGCTCCCTGGGGGCAGGGACCCTTGTGTGGCTCACTGCTGCCGCCCTCCCAGTGCCTGCAAATGGGTGAATGAGTAAGGAGACGCTAGACTGGAGGTCTAGGGGGTTTCACTGCCAACTCAAAGGCAGGGGCTCTCTGGTGGTTCAAACCAGCAGCTGTGAGGGTTTAGAAAGATGGGCATTTTCCTCTTGTGTGTGGTTTAGAGCTTCCAAAACCCCACTGGAGAGTCAGATCTAACTCTACCGAAATGAGAGAGAGAGAGAGACATGCCGAGAAGGGAGGGCCTGCAGGGCACGTGCTCCAGCTTTGTGCTTGAGGGGTATCTGTACCCACTTGGGCCCACAGCTGTGACACGTTGTGTATCCCGTGGAGCACATAACACCTCACAGGACCTGACTTAGCTCACTCTCCACATGTCCAACGCACTCCTGGTAGTGGCTCCAGGAGGCTGATGCTCATACTACCCTGGCTTGTTAAGTAACTTGCCTGAGGTCCCAAAGCAAGTTAAGTAGCAAAGCTCAGGTGACCCAATCTATGCTCCTCCTGCTGTCCTTGGCTGACACACAATCCCGTCCCGCCCCCTGGACATGTGCAGCCATGAAAGTTCATGTCATCCCCACAGGACTCACTGAGTGAGTGCCACTTCCCTGAGCCCTGGGTGCGAGAGATTCAGTAGGTAAAGTCAAACCCTCAGTAGTTGCAGGAGGTCAGTTAAGTGACTGGGAAGTGAAGATGACTGTACCACCCGCATGGACAGCTGAGGGTAGGTAGGTCAGGACTCCCCTCAGCCCTGTGTCCACCTCCCCGGGATCAGCGACCACCAATAAGCTGGTGATTTTCCCAGAAAGCACCAGCACCAGCTCTGACCTCTCCTCTGAGCTTCCATGACCCTGGATGTATGTCCGTGATGTCCCATAGACACTCCAGACAGGCTCAGAGCAGCCACCCTCCCCTCTGGGTATGTGGTGCTCCGTCCCTGCCTCCCTGTGTGTTTCAGGCCTCATCTTTGTCCTCTCCACCTGGACCAGCACCTCTGCTTCCTTGTGGTCTTCTGATGTCCACCAGAGCACTGGGGAGCCCAAAAAAATCGGCAAGTTGGCCTTGCCCCCACCCTAAACTGGGATGCTCACCTGTACCCTTGTAGGCCACCAGGTCAACCTTCCCATAGGTGCCCTTGCCCAGCTCCCGGACCAGCTCGTAGTGCTTGGTGACATCACTGGCGGCCAGCGTGCGGAGGGTCAGCGCCTGCATGTCTTCAGTGAGGAGGGGCACACCGGCTCCCGGTCCGGGGGTGGCCCCCGGCCCACAACACGGCATGGAGCGGGGCGGCTCAGGCTCCGGGCAGCCCACACTCATCTTCTCCCTGTTGTGGAAAGTGTGACATCAGGCCAGGGACCTTTCCTCCCAGCCAGCACTCAGGGTCCCTGGGGCTGAGCCTCGAGATGCCAGGCCCAGAGTGACCACAAGGGGGTGACAAGAATCTTTGCTGCATCCCCATCCCCCAAAGCTTTAGAGACCAGTAGTCCTGTACACAGTGGCCACTCTCCACTGGGCAGCGTAGCCCATTTGTCCCACACGGTCACCTGGATGTGGTGCTGGCAAGGGTCATACAAATATACAGCCACACAGTGAGTTCACATAGAGGGCTCTGTTCACAAGGGCCTTGGGGACACAGCAGTGAGCAGATAGCAGAGTCCTTGCCCTTGGGGGCTTACATTCTAGGGAAGGTGAGAGTGAAGCCTAGAAAATAGATGAGTTATATACACACTATGACAAAAGGTACATATAACATGGGGTGTAGAGAAAATATAGCAGGGGATGTGGGGAAGGTCTGAGGACAAGGAGTAACAGCATATTATAACACACACAGCTACACACCAGCCAGTCTTAGGACCATCCCCCATCACCACCACAGACGACAGCCCAAACCCCTCAGGGCCACACAATACAACCACAGCTGTGTCCTGGGGTCTTGCCTAGGGCCCCACCCCGGCGACAAGGCCAGTCGGTCCCTTGAAGACGCAGCCCTTCTGTCACAATCAATAGATGACCCCTGTGTACGCCAGGGAGCCTTCCCACAGAGCTCCTGCACTCATTTCTGAACGGACTGGGTGTCCTTGAGTCTACCTGTGGATGTTGGGGAGCAGAGACTACGGGGGTGTGGAATCCAGAGCTGCAGGGCTGATTCTGGAAGGCTCCGCGTGGGCGGCAGTGAACAAGTCACTCCTCATCTGAGGAGTCACCCCATCCATTCCTCGTCTGTACAATGCGGGCAGAGCTTTCAGAGCCATGGGGGGATGTGTGTGTGTTGTACCAACAGGGGAGGCCCAGCATGGAATGTCCTAGACTCCCACTGCCTGCCTCTTCCCCTTCATGTACTGGAGGTCTGGCTCCAGCTCCGGTTCCCTCATTTCCCCTAATCCCAGGGACAGCACCCTCTACCCTCAGCATCTCACCTCCCTGCAGCTCCATGGCTCTAGCTGAGAGAAAACACAAATGTAGAGCCTGCGGCCAGGGTTTGAATCCCAACTGACACCTGCTGGATGGATATCCCTAGGTAAGCTCTTTCCTTTCTCTGTGCCTCGGTTTCCTCATCTATCGAGATTAGGCCGTAATGGTATCTGAGGAATCCCTAAGTGGTGCAAATGACCAAGTGCCTGACCACTAACTGAAAGGGTAACAGATGTATAGGGGATTAGGACCCACCCCGGGGGTTACCTCAGAAGACAGTATTCTACTCCTTTTTTAAAATTTAATTTTATTATTCTGTCTGTGTGTGTGTACCGTCAAATCGGATCTGGTACAGGAGGAGACTGTCTCCTGCTTCTCCAGCAGAGAATCTGGTGGATTCGAACCACGTTTCTCTGGGATTGCAGTGCAGCCGCTGCTTCTAAAAGGTCACGGCCTCGCACACTCTATGGAGCAGTTCCACTCTGTGCGCTCAGGGTCTCCAAGAATTGGCACTGATGCCACATAACTCGCATCCACCAGCTGCTCTTCGGGAGAAAGATGAGCAATCTCCTCTCCTGCAATTTGCTGTCTCTGAGAACCCACTGGAGGGTCAGCAATGGGTCGGTTCCCACTCAACAATACATAACCACCACCACACAACTGACAAGAGGACCGCCTCCGAGGGCTGCTGTGACGGCTGACTATACTGACAGAGTGAGGCGATCTGTCTATGTGAGCACAGTGTGTGTGGCTAGTCTAGAGCTACTGCACACACCGGAGGCCGGGACAGGGGAGCCTGCGTGCGCCTGGCACCGTGTGCCCGGCATCCTGACCGTGGCCCCAGCCGCCTCTTTCTTCCCCTTCCCTCTCAGCACGACCCAGCCTCCCACTTCACACGGAGAGGAGGAACGGCAGTGGGGTGCTTCCTGGCCTCCCACCCAGCCACAAGGAGTGCCATCTGCACCATCCTCCCAGCTGGCTGGGGAGGAGGTACTCCCAGCCCCCCCCCAGCCTTGGCTCCCATCCCTTCTGCTTCCTCAGGAACCTGCCCCCCCTCCCAGGGCCCCCTTCCCCTCCATTCATGAGCAAGCTCCAGTCTCCTCTATTCTAGTAGAGCATCCCACCCCCAGCCTTCTCTCTGTCCTAGCTGATTTCACAGGAATGCATGTAGACAGTCTGTCTGCGACGCCACAGTCGAGTTTGCAGCCCAGGCTAGTCTGTTCCACTGGCCCCCAGAGGAGACGTGGGGCCGGGTCTTAAGCTCCCTGATATCACGACCTGGAGTGGCCAGCCCCGTCCGCCCTCTGTTGCAGACCCCTAGTGCAGGGCTGTGCGTAGAGACGGCTCTTGTGGTGGTCTCTCTTGGTCGGAAGGCTGACAGGGTCCCTGTGGAAGGGGTGGTGATGCCGGGCTCCTAAGGGGGAATCTGGAGGCTGCTGGGGGTCGGTGCGTCTTCAGGCTGGTCTGTGGGGAGGGTGGCCACAGGGCTTCTGCAGGGAGGGTCTGCTATGAAGCGGGCTGGGCTGCTCTCCTGACCCACTTCTGATGTGTGGCTTCCTCAGGGACTGCTGATGTGAGTACACAGGTGTGTCTGCCTGTCCCCCCTGGCAGCTTGGCTCCTGCTTCCGCACCCCCAGACACTTGATTGGCATGAGTTGCTACAGTCCTGCCTCTCTCGCTCCCTCCCACATCCCGGGACTGCTGGGTACCATGGCCATTCCTGCCCCTCTGGCCTCAGAACTGCCCTGGGTGGGTACTGGTCATGGCACAGCCAGAGTAGAGGGCTTTGAGTGCCCTCAACGTCCCCCCAAGTTCAGCCCATGCACTGACTGTGACCTGTACAGCCCTCTCTAAGTCACCTCCCACAATTCCTGAACCATCTCTGCTTCCTTCACCTCCCCTGTCCCATACCCCATCTCTTGTCCAGTATCCTTGGGCCTTCTCCTCTGGAAAGCTTCGTTCCTGCCTTTGCTGAACCCTCAGATCTCACAGGGCGTGTCTGTCCCCCTCAGGACTGCAGAATGTAATCGGGTGGTCTCACTGTGCCTGTTCCCATCACAAGGTAAGAGTGAGCTTCTTGGGGGCAGGCCACATCCAACCCCCCTTCCTTCTCCCCTCCTCTTAGGTTCCAGTTTTGGGGGTCCCCCACCACCTCCTCTTTCTGCTCTTCCCCAACCTCCTTTTTCCTGGGGTCTCCTCCCTCAGGACAGTTCTCTGCATGGTGTCAGCAAGAGAAAGGGTTTAATCCACATTTGTTCCTGTGGCGGAGTCTGCCCCCAGGTACAGACAGCCTCTGACCCAGTTACAGCACACGGCGGGGGGTGAAGGCAGCCCTTGGTCTTGAGGCGCAGAAGGCCTGGCTTTGGGCCCAACACTTGCTACTTTATTTGGCTGGGTGACCTTGAGCAAGTCACACCCCTTCTCTGTGCTACAAGCTCCCTCATCTTTACAACAAAGAGAATAATAATAAAGATCACAGCGAAAACACTGAGAATCCTTACTATGGGCCAGGCCTTCTCCTAAGTACTGACTCCACCAGTGTTCACAGCTCTGTGATGCAGCTGATACGAGAATCCCCACTTTAGAGATGAGGAAAACGAAGCACACTGAGATAAAGTCATTGCCCCGGCTCAGCTCTGGGACTATCTCCAAAGGTGGGGCTTTAAAGAAGGAAGGGGGAAAAAAAGGGTTTTCAGTGAAGACTTACACAGCACTTTAGCTTCCCATTCAGCAATTCCCACACACAGTGCTCAGTGACATTGATTCCGTTCTTCACAATGCATTGAACATTCTCATTAATTCCATTCTGGTGGTTCTGTTTCCACCCATCTAGTGTCCCTGCCCCCTTACGCTCTCGTCTTTGTTTTAGTGGCTGCGGACTGGTCTCCCACGTGTTATGTGACTCACAGCTGACCCTCCAGCAGGTTTTCAGAAGCCATAAATCACATGGGAGGAGACTGCCTGTCCACCCTTCTCCCAGAGAGCAACTGATAGATTAGAACCACTTGTCTTTAGGTTGGCAGCCCAGCTCCTTATCACAAGGCCACCAGAGCTTCCTGTTTGGCCTCACAGATGATTTTTTTAAAGGCGTGCAGTCCTAATATTCTTTATTTTATGAGCTAATCTGTTAATTTAGCTAAAAGGTGACCTCGAGGTATTTTTGGTTCAAGGTTGAAGGAATATCTCAAGGCTTGGGGAATTCTTCAAGTTCCAACTAGTTTGGAATTTTCAAGAACTTGAGGTCGGTTCTACACATTCCTCCCAGCTCTTGTGAACCCATCCACTGTGGCCTCGATCAGAGATTTCTCCCAGCTCTTGGGGACCCATGCACCATGGAGCCATCAGCAGCAGTGGGCAGACCCCACCTAGATCTGGTCTCAGTCTGTATAGACTATCAGACCTGAGCACTTGTTTCTTCTTGGGGTTTTTGGTTTTCCTATTTCTTTTTTGCTCCAGATGGACAGAGACCACTAGTGAGAGGAGATGCTTTGAACCACCCTGTTGCTCTGAGTCTGAATGTTGTAAAACATTGACCCCAGCATCCTTGGTACCCAAGTGGGAGAGCCAAGGCCAGCAGAGAGTAGAGCCTCAGCCAAGGACTGCCTACACGCTCACAACTCCTGACGGGGGCTGGCTGGGTGTTGGGCACTGGTCTGGGTGCTTCACACACGTTAACTCATTTCATCCTCAGGACAATCCCACATGGAAGGTACATCAGCCCCTTGGGAGCTCGAGGCCCGGGGGATACAGTTGGGTGCATCCTCTCATTGAGTGCTGCACAGGACAGGAGGCACCTCGTCTGGTGAGACTCCTTCACAGGGGCACTTTAGTATCATTATCACCACCATATCTGCTTACAGGGTGGCCGTGGACTTGCAAGTCCCAGAGTGGAGGATGGGGGATGG